AAAAAAAAAAAAAAAAAAAAAAAAAAAAAGATAGAGAGAGAGCTATGGTATTCTTTGCTTTTGGATAAAGGTTTAGATACAGAGCTTTGAAAACGTCTTGGAGGGTACATATACTCACTACCTACTAAGGTACATATACTCACTACCTACTAAACGATAACTTAGTCAAATATTTTGGCGAACATTTAATGCTTTCTCAGAAACTGAAAGAACATATTATCATTACATTAATTAGTTCTTATGCTCCAAGTATTTAAGATTTACTAAATGAACATAGCATAGTTAAGTAATGTATCTTGAAGTACTTCAGCTTTAGATGCTCTAAACCACCACACAACGACTGCTTTCCAAACAGTGTCACGCAAGCAGAATAATTATAAGCAAAACCGTTATCAGCCATACTGTTAGCCAAAATTTGAAGGGATTTTTAAAGCTATGGAAGTTTATACTATTTGAATAAAACGTACATTGATTTTTATAAAGACAAGATTATTTAAACATTCCACTATAACCTAAATATTATATTTCAGTGCTGCACTTCCTTCCGACTTTATCGTCCTCCTCCTTCAATTCTTTCGTTTTCGTGAAACGACTTGTGTTTCTGTTTTTCGTAGATAACGGGAAGCTCAAACGTAAAACAGAAAATTTACGACAAGAATTCATAATCATCCATATTCATCAGATTCAAATTTAATTTCCACAACTATGAAATGCATATATTAGTACTGACACCATGGAAGGGTCAAGCTTTTATATTATCACTGAATAAGATTGGCTTACGCCGAATGAGGTCCCCTGGATAGTTTTGAATGCGTTGAGACAAAACATTCCAGTGTACGCATTCGTGTCAGTTTGACCCGGAAATACTGCCTATCTTATGATTTTTAAAAATAAAGCCAAAGTTGACCTGCATTGCCATTGACTCGTCATTATCAAGAAATGGAATATTTGTGAATGGACGCGACAAAATGATGTGTAGTAGCTATGGAGGTCCTGACTAAGGCAGGGGTCGCACTAGGCGAAAAAGTGTTTTTTTAAGTACCGATTCTGTCATCACTTAACGAAAATAAATGCGACCCCGTTTCTGCCAAAATTTGGCGTTCGCCAAAATTTAGTGCATTCGCCAAAATCTTCAAAGAAGCCGAAGGGCTGCCTCAGGACAGCCTAAAATTTAGAAAAGCAAACAGACCTATTGTTTTAGTGTTTAAAGTGTCGATCTTCTCGTCATATGACTGGTATCATGTATCCTTTGAAGCATTCACTTTGGCGGGAGATTGCATCTCTTGACCTTTAAAAGTGAGCAATAATGGACCGTCGAAACGCTTTTCAGCCGGTTCCAAACTGCAGTTTTTATGATTCGGGATATCAATATCATCCAGACCCATACCAAATGTATCAAGGCCAAAGCTACATGAATAGCTATCAATTTAACCCGGCTTTTGTGACAGAGCAGAGCTATGATCAACGACAGACGGAATCTCCGATTTCAAACTCGAGCACAACTTCAAGCTCAGATCATGTCCAAACTACTAAAAATGGATTTCAAACCATGATTCTGCCGGACGTGGAAGAGTCCAAGACCAAGGCGAACGGCGACGAATATTCTGTCTCAATCTTCACCTTCTCATAATCATAGCCATTCTCATACGAGCTTGTTGGTGTTGCATGAGCACTAGCATTAGGGCCACAACCTGCTGTTGAGTTTGTAACTGGAAGTTCAGTAGAAATCCTACAGCTAATAATAATATATTTGTCACATCCATCTTGCCAGAAAGACCAAATAGTGTTTCCCGCCAAAAGCTTGTTTACCTCTGTGATTGACCTCAATGTAACATAATCTGAACTTTAAGTATACATGATATCCCTTGAGTACTGATGTGTGTCAAATTAGGGAATCCATTTTTCACCTAGTGCGACCTCGCTAAAAATTGGAACTGGCAAAAGATGAAATCGCAAATTTTTGTTTAATGCGAAAGTAGGTAAACAAAACTTAGCCTAGTGCGACCCCGACCTAAGACAGTAACTTCTTTTCCTACATTTTGGCACTTGGTTCTATTAGATAATCAGGCATGTTGATTGGCTGTAAATATAACCTCAAATCTTCATTGTTATTTCGTCTTTTATGTCATGATTGAGTGTCCCAGTCGAGCAGAAAGTCAATAAGGAAGGGATTTTGTCACGGCAACTGCTGCAACAGAACAGGAGATGAATTGATGACTTTTCGCATCTTTGCATCATGGAAAAGAAATTTGAAATTCCCCAAAGTCTTGAAACACTTACAGTGAAAGAGGTTTGTCAGTGCTTAAAGCTGCTGAACATGGAGCAATACATAGAAGTATTCCGAGTGGAGTGTGTAGACGGTAGTCTTCTTGTTACCTTATCAGAAGACACACTGGTTGCATTAGGTATAACTAACAAGTTCCATCTCACAAAGCTGTTAAAGTTTATTAAAGGATGGAGGCCAAACAGATGAATTGCCTTGTATTTGGAATCATTGAGGAGAAAAGATACCGTGTCAGTTAACCTGAGCTAAAGATGCACCAACATATATTATACTGCACGGCATGTCAAGCTGGTTTTATTTGAGCAACTTATTTACGAAAGTTTCAATTATAGAACAAAGATGTGCTTTGAACAATTGATCGCCTTTAACACAATATTCACTTGGTCGGAGAAGAACCAAGGAAATAAATAACTGACACAAACATAAATGTGAGGGGAAAAAAACGTTATGAGAAGGAAAATAGATTTTTTAACCATATCCTTTTCTTAATATTTGATGTCCAGATGGCATGGTATGTTTCATATTGTTCAGTATGACATGGTGTTATGTAAATGAATAAATAAAAAAAAAAACATTTCTTAATTTATTCCATCAAATGCATCAACTAATGTTACAATCAGTGACAGAATGTGGCACTTTCACTTTTTCAAAAATTTTAAACTTCAGGTCGTAGAATTTCCCTAGATATAGCCCGTTGAAAAAAAATCGGTAATCCGAAAAGATCCTTACTTCTTAGTTATTCACAAATGAATAGTGCGTTTGAAAAAAGGTCGCTTTATTTTGAAAAGAATTCAATCAGTGACAGATTGTGGCAATTTCACTTTCTCAAAAATTTTGAAATTCAAGCAATAGGATTTCTCTAGACTGTTTTGGCGGCTACGCCTTTGTGATGACTGCAGTGGTATCATTCATCGTTTATGGTCAAAATATTAGTTTGTTGACTCTTGCATCTATTTGATAAGGAAGTGTAGAGCATGACAAACAGCGTTAAACGCGCGTACCATCTTATACCGCTGGGTTCAGTAAAACCTTCAAATACCCCAAATAAACTAAAGAATCTGCAAATTGAATAATCTATTTATATAATAGAGTCAATGGGAAGTAATAGATCCCACAAGAGCCAGATAAAATCTACCATATCTAATTTATTTACAAAGCAAAGAAAACCTCTCAGTAAATAAATGTAAGACCTAATTACTCTATCCCGGAAGATTGTAAGCCCTTGAATAGACAAGGTCACTTGTCGGTTTCGAAGGTTTACTAGATACGCTGATTCATGAACTCGGTGGAAGCCAATATTGAGAACACAAGTCCATATTTGGAAATTGACCACAGTTACGCATGATATTACGCATGACAGCTCAGCTTCTTTATTGACATTGACTGAAATGTTTGAAGTGAAAAAATAGTTAGCCGTGTACTCTGGGTCATTACAAGGCAGGAACTTAAAACAAGATGTCTGATTCCATGGAAGACAATGTGGATCTTGAATCACTTAAATGGAGTGAGGAAATCTACACTTTGGAAGAATTCCTTAAGAAACTCGACCTTCCACAAATCGTCTGTGTGCGAGATGGGTATTACGATCTTGAAGATATCACGACTCTTTCCACTGATCAGGTTCTGACTTTGCATACATTGAAGACATGTCGAATGGTGAAGGGAATCAGCGAGACAAACGAAGAAATATCCATACCAACAAATATTCAAGGTAGAGTAGAACTCATGCCCAGTGATCTACCTAAAATGTACAAGAGCGTGAAAGCGGTCACTAAGGACTGGCCTAAAATGGTTATATCCCTTCACAATCATGTGTGGCTGGGATTAATGACTAATGATGTGCTCAAACTAGAAACTGTCAAAAGAAAAAGACTAAAGGAGTTCTTATGCTGCTCCTTTGTGAATAAAGAAGCTGATGTTGTTGAACTTCCCATGTCATACGAAGCCTGCTTCCAGTCTTATGAAGAGCCTAAGCACATCGAAGTCAACCAAATCGAAAGCCACTGTAAAATGCCTTGTTATGTAAAAATACATGCTAAATCTCCCATCAAACCCAACGTTGATGATCCTTCTGAGACCCTGGATCTCAGTACGTTTGGAAGAATCCAGCTGGTGCATGCTTACAACTATAGAAAAATTATTGCAAGTATCAGGGATAAAGAAAGAACATCGGTAATGCAAATTCCAGTTGATCTAGAAATAACCATTATGCCTGCTTCAGGAGCCATAGAAAGGGAAAGCAGATATGAAAGTATTTGTAGTAACGTTCACCAGAAGACACAGTTAGGACAGCTCGATGGCATGGAATTAGACTTTGTGAAGATGGGAGACAAGGGGAACATAGTTGACAATATATATGAATATATTGACTTCAGTCAGTTGAACCTTAAGCCATCAAAACCAGAAGTAGCTCCCAAACCTGCACACTTAAAAGAAAAACCAGCTGTGCCGCCACGGGACCGTAGAACATCAATGAAGGATCACTCACATGCATCCATAAAGACAGAAACAACACCTTTATCTAATCTGGAATCAACTATCTCACCACCAGAATCTCCAGCAAAAACTACAAATAACACTGACTTTACTATCCCTGAAGACTTAAAAAGTCTTACGGTAGAAGAAGTTGCAAACTGCCTAAGCTTACTTCACATGGACATGTATACTGAAAAATTTAAAGAAGAGCAAATAGACGGGGACATGTTAGTAGAATTGAACGAAGAAATGCTGGAACAGTCTCTTGGAGTAACCAACAAACTTCATCAGAAGAAACTAATGAAAGTTATCCGAGAGGGATGGAGACCAAAAAGCGATTGAAAAATACTTTTATTTTAGGTAGTAGCATTACTTTAAGAAATAATACTCTAAGACTCTTTTGTGCATCACAATTATTTGTCCAAAACCTCGGGAAATTTTAAATTGAAATGAGAATTATTCTAGGACCACGAAGCGGACTCAAGATATAATCAGACTGAACAAAACCATAGTTAATAAATTATATGAGATAACTTATGCAAGCAACGTGGCTGAAACAAAGAATATTGTGATAAAAATATACTCATTTCATATCTAACATGCTGTGATGAAAATCTGAAAATCTAAACAACCTATAGCCGTATGCTCTCGTCTGGCAATCTTGTTTTCAACTGGCAAGCCTTGGCTGGCGAGCACTGAAAACTTGCTAGTAATTGCGCGCTATCCGACTTGGAATCTAAGATACAAGTTATTACAACTTAAACATTATAGCAATTACATAAAGAGGGGGTGGGGACTTTTTTCTTGTGAAAAAATACCGACTTGTATTTTCTCGATGTCATGCATCAGTTTTCTACAAACGCTGCTTTGTCCTGTTTCAGCCGTGCGATAAATATAACTAACAACTATAAATGTTGGCAATTTATGACTCCGCGATACATGTTACGTTGGAGTTCACCATAATGCTTTTCCTTTTTTTCTTTTAAATGAATTTACTTACTACTTTTAGTCTGAGCAAAGATAAAATATCGGTAAAGAAATATAAATATTAAAATATGTGAAAGCTAACCACGAGATAACACAAACAACTTGATCCTAAAATAGAACTACTTCACAGATTGGTTGGTTTGTTTTGACCTTTTGATCATAAAATAATAGTGAAAGATGCAAATGTTTGAAAACAATAATATACTTTAGAAATGAAAAACCGCGCTTTGTTATAATGATCAAAAACACGCAATGATTAATAGATAATCCCTAAGCTGAAAACTGATACTAAAAGATGAAAAGTTTTCTTAGATGGAATTTTCTTTTGGGAGTTTTATATCAAGGATCGACAAACTTTTGATTTGACTCAGTTGCTGCTTCCGCCGCACTAAACCATGCATAAAACTAAAGGTCATGTTGCAAAGTCTTACAGCAGTCGTTACAGACGTCTTAGCCAAGTGAAATATTCGTGATTTAATGTGGAATATCCAAGCTAGATTTCGAATCACTAATACTTTTGATAAAGTAAAAAAAAAAAAATTGTAAAATTCAGTGTATATATTGAAATCTAACAGATGAGATCGTGTCTATGTAAAAGATGAAAAGTTTAAGAGTGGAACTTAGAGCTAAGTGAGTCCAAACATTCAGGTCTAGACGTGTTTTTTTTTTTTTGAGATTGGAACGGTGAGTAGAATATCTGTAATAGCAATTAACTATAAAACCTTGGACCTCTTCCAACCTGTGACAGACTTCCAGGTCCAATATTACAACATTAAAGGACATTTAAATTAAAATCATGTTTTTATAGTATCAAAATTACCCTCTGCCAATTTACTATCAGATTTATGATTTATGATTGTTTTATTTTGAACGGTATTCCCATTGACCAATGATATCAAACCTGAAAGTTCTTTGGTTAACGTGTCAACAGGGTTCATTGGTGTAGGCTTACCGGTGTAATATCAGATGGCAGTAAAAGATGGTAGCCCTGGCAACCACGGTCACGTGTCTAACTAAGGCATCGTGGGATGGGTTTTTACTAAAGACCATTCACTAACAAGAGTGGTAGAGTGACCGGGTACAGGGCAAAAGGAGACCAAAGCTGACAGCCGGTATTAGCAACAAAGAAGGCAATGAACAAAATAATGAACAATGAATTAGAAATTAAATAAATATCCAAATCAGCGCAGGTTATCGAAGGAGGTGTGTATGCATTCGGCGTGACCAATTTAAGAAATTTACAGGCCGAGCAAATGTGAATTAGGGAAGTTTTATTTTGAAAAAAACTGTAGATGATAATAATAATAATAATAATAATAATAATAATAATAATAATAATTGAAATAGTAAAGGCATTCTACGGATGTCCATTCTACGCCTTTGAAAAGACATTTGTTAGTGACACACTAAGGATATAGCCTAGAACTATATAAGTTCCGCTTTATTTTTTTAAGAGTACTACCGACTGAAAGTTT